CATCTCTTTCCATTCGCTAACAAGCCGGAGACTCGTCTGTGCAAAATGTGACAGCTTTGCTATTAAACTCTGGCAAAAGTTGGACCCATTTGCTTTTCTCAAAGATTAATGTCCTCGGGGATGCCAAGTTGTGGGGCCTTCCTTTTTTTTTTTTTTTGCGCTAAATCGCTTGATCATATGTATTGCTAGATGCAGGGCAGAGCCACTACTGGAGATGGATTGGCCGAGGGGGAGCCAAGAGCTGCTTAGTGAGTTATATAATGTGGCAGGTTCTCCCCCACCTTGGCTCTGCAAATAGATGGCTTCCAAGCAGGCTGTTTGACTAGATTGCCACAGGAATAAATTGAAAGAATCTGAAACACGGTTTTCCCAGCCTTAGTCTTTGCAANTCCAAGCAGGCTGTTTGACTAGATTGCCACAGGAATAAATTGAAAGAATCTTTGAAATACGGTTTTCCCAGCCTTAGTCTTTGCAACTGCAGAGAAAACATCAAGGCAAAATAAATATTCTGAATACTTGGGGAATTCCATGGGTATAAATGTCTGTATTTCTTTGCAATCATCTATCAGTGACCTTTGGTTTGCGTTAGAAGCAAGACTTATTCCAAAATCTANATAAATGTCTGTATTTCTTTGCAATCATCTATCAGTGACCTTTGGTTTGCTTTAGAAGCAAGACTTATTCCAAAATCTTATACCAAGGCATTTTTCTGTAACCTTACCGAGTCTTTATTAAAACAGTCCATCCAAGGATGCTGGGGTTTCCTGGAGCAGTGGAAAGAAGTTCACGAGAGTTTCATCTATAGTCCATGAGAGGAACCTTGAGGATGCTCTCATAATGAACTTCAGCAGAATCGGGGGTTTTGCCATTATGTTGCTTTAAGTGCCCGAGGGTTTATTAAAATCCTGTTTTTCATGGGGAGTAAACTTTCCTGTAACACCTCCCTGTCTTTACTTTTCATAAGTCAGAAGCACTCTGTACACATTTGTTGGACTGTTTCCTTGAGAAAGGTTAAGCGTGCTACGTTAAGGACAAGTCTTGCAGAATAAGAAAGTTTAGCCTTTGGAAAGACCTTAAATATTATTAAACCCACCCTACTCAAGAAAGTAGAATTCCAAAATAATTATAATGATATCTACCACTTAATTTTCCCCTTGAATAACCATGAAAATACTAATTTATGATCAGGCCATGGGCAATTAATAAATCTTGTAGAGGGCGTGACTTTTTTAAAATTTCACCACTAGCTAAAAGTCCAAAAGAAACAAGTACTGCTGGGATTTTTAAAGGAAATGGACAACTGATAAATCCTTGAGGGAGGCAATGGAGGATTGCTCAGCCCCCTGAACACTTTCAAACGGTGCCGCTGGTGTGGCTGCCGTCAGAGTTGCTCCAGAGGCTCAGAGACCAATGTGGAGAAAGAAACACAATGATGACGGCGTGGGCAAGCCCTACGGTGAAGGGGTGAAGGGAGTGTCACCGTGAGCTCAGAGGCCTGTGGAGTGAGGTATTTTAGCAGGGATTTTCCAGCAGCGGGCCAGGCTGAGGGTGACGATCCGCACTGGCTGGTGACCTGAATTACTTCTCCAAATGCCCGCACAATTAGGATTCTGAATGGGAGCGTCTTCCCCCTTCCATGCCATCCTACTCCTAGGCATCGGTGTAGCCCAGCTCTACATGAAAAGGCCCCTGTTTGGGAAGGAGCACCAGTGGATTACAATATAAGCTCAGGGTACGGTTTCCTACACATCAACTGGCCCTCAAATGCCCCAAACGTCTCCGACATCTGAAAAGCCAGAAAGTCCTTGAAGCCTTTAGTATGCACCACCATGGTTCTTGTCCTTCAGAAAATCCAAGTTGTAACAACTGTATATTCAATAGGATTGTACATGCGTCCTCAAATATGGTTTCTTTAGGTTAGGATTTTATCAGTTCAGGGTGGCCAAACTGGTTTACTGGCCTGCTCAGAAGTTATTCAGATAGCTGTTCGACTTAAGCTCAGGAAAAGAAATTAGTAAAGGCTCTTTTTAGAGATAATGTTTTTAAGGGGAATGGCTGATAAGATCAGCTTTTTTCTTTGTTTCTCCATCGCTAGAAAACATCTGAGTGGATCATCACTAAATTCAGAGAGCACACTTTGGGTGGTCTTAAATACGGAATAGGAGTGGTCATAGATATTCCTTTTGGAGAGCATGTTGGGGGTATCTCTCCAACAATTTTTTTCATATAGTGTAGTAGGAGATATCAACAAAAATCTTCAACAAAATTGCATTTAAAATATAAAGTTATTGGGCACCAGGGAAAAACAACTTCATTTTTTTCAAGGAATGACTTTCATTGTTTTTCCTTGTGCATAAGGTACAAGGTATCACCAAAGACAAACGACTTTCTCATAGCAAATACATTAATGGAACAAAATGAGAAGTTTAAGAACTGCTTTCAGATCAATCAGGAGATAAGGGCCCCTTCAAGAGCAACCTTGGAGTTTGGTGCCAGAAACCAAGTGTGACCAGACCATGTGACTGGTGACTGGCCATCAGGAGAGAGGTGCCAGTCAACAAAAGAATTCAAGTAAGATTAGAATTCATACTGATTAGAATAAAGCATTCAACATTGATTCAAAAACTTAAAACACATCTCTTCAAGCTCCCAAATAGGTGATCTCCATAAGAGTGATCCCAAGGAAATCTCCAGCACGAATCAATTGTTGAGTCTCTAGAGGCTCTGAAATATCAATTGAGCAATATTTGGAATCCAGTTTTGAAAAGCGATTTCAGGGTCCTTAATAGTACACTCTGGAATCTGTATTTCCCAAATATACAAATTACTCCTTTACTCTCCTCACCCCCTTTCAAATGTCTGCAACTCCCAGCAAGTATGTGTTTCATGTGTCCATTAATAAGTCTCCAGGACAGACAGTCTGAATTCCAGGCATTGATTTGCCATCAGTTGCGTCTCACTTGGGCAACTCCAGACAGTGGCTCAGGCTCCGTCACAGCAGCGTTCATTCAGGTGTCCAGAGCAAGACACAGCAAATAGGGTTGCCTTAGTCGGTCTGGGTGGCTACGATGAAGTACTATAAACAACAGAAATTTATTTCTCACAGTTCTGGAGGCTGGAAATCTGAGCTCAAGGTACCGGCATAGCTCAGTTCTAGGGCACTCTTCTGGGTTGCAGACTGCCAACTTCTGGTTATATTCTCACATAATGGAAAGGGGGTGAGTGAGCTCTCTGGGATCCCTCTTCCAAAGGCAAAAGTCCCATTCATGCGGTCTCCAATCTCATGACCTCATTACCTCCCCAAGGCCCCACCTCCTGATACCATCAGGATGGGGATAGGATTTCAGCGTATGAATTTGGGAGGGTACAAACATTCAGTCCATGTGGATGGCCTACAAAGAGGATTTGTTACAACGTTTGAAATTATTACAATTTATATCGACATATTTGAAAGGTTAATGGAATCCAATTTTAACTAATTTATTCATTCTATTACTTTATTTAACTACAGTTAATGATTCTCCTAAGCACTATCAATAATAGTGCCAGGTAATAATAATTTGAAAGTAAACACATAAAATTATTGCTATATAAACACTTTGGTAGTAGGCAAAAACTGTGTTTTGTTTTTTGTTTTGTTTTGTTTTTTTCTGGATAATGGTTAATTGTCAATTCCAGGAAGACAGCATTGAAATCAAGGTTTTTTCTCCCAGTTCTTCAGAAATGACACCTTGGCAACTGTGCAGGCACGTACCTGGATCAAATGCAAGCATGAGCGGTTGGCCAAATTCCCCCAAGATATACTTATTCTTGTCAAAGCATGTCATTCAAAAGCCAGCTCTGCTCTTCCTCATAATCCCAGAAGTCTTAGTCATTACAGGGCTATCTGAGCACTGTTCACAATGCTGTTGGAAATTTAATGGAGAATTATATACATGACAAAAACGTACTTTCCTGTCATTTAAAATTAAATTTAGGAACAAGTTGAGTCTGTTACATGCTGTGACCATTTAGGTGAGGACTTAAAAATACTTAAGGAACTGCCCGGCTGGTGTGGTTCAGCGGTTGAGCATCGACCTAGGATCGAGGAGATCGCAGTTGGATTCCCCCTCAGGGCACATGCCCGGGTTGTGGGCTTGATCCCCAGCGGGGGCCTGCAGGAGGCAAGCGGATCAATGACTCTCCCATCATTGATGTTTCTGTCTCTCTCTCTCCCTCTCCCTTCCTCTCTCTGAAATCAAGAAAGATATATATATTTTTTAATTAAAAAAAAAGGAATTCAATTACCAGAGACATATCTTAGATCAGAAGAGTCATATGAATTTATGTGAATGTCTAAGTATCAACTCGGTAAATTAAAATTTCCTCTTAGTGCACCTTTATTAATTTAAAGCAATGTAATCAGGTACTATTGTTATAATTCTAGTATAAGCCAATACTTTTTATTCTAATATTGTTTAGATACTAAGTCCGGCCTTAATATACAGTAATACAACAAAAAAAAATTGAGATAATTAAACCTAAAATTACACTTGCTTCAAGTGTCTGGCCTGAATTATGTAGGTGCAAATGGACAAGCTCCTCATTGAGTACTGCGATATGAAAAAATTACCTGACTAGCAGAAACATCAATCTGAATTTTCAGTCCCTATGATCTTGGGCAATTTCCTCTCCTTTTCTGGCTCTCACTTTAGAATAGAAACAGAATGAGTTGGAGAAGGCCTGTGCTTCCCAGCTCGGTCATTCTGCCCTCGAAAAATTTAGTTACTTCACGAACCTTTCAATCTTAATCTTTACGTACATTAAGAATGATCCCCAGCCAGAATAAGTCATATGTTATCTGCATATATGCAATAATTTTACAAGTGTATTAAATGCAAGTTTAACTTTTAAATGTCACTAAATTAATAAAATGTTTTTCCCCCGTATTTTTTATCAATAGTTACTGAAAGGACAGTTGTTATTGTGTTGTGTCCCAGAAACATATTTATATTAAAAATAAAGCTTCATACTCAAAGAAGTTGTAAATTACTAGGATAGATTATTTCTAAAGTTCTTTTTAGCTTTACAATTACATTTTTCTAAAATTAGGAAAATCTAATCCTATTTTCCCCCTCCCCCTCCTTTCTCCCTCCTCTCCTTCCTTCCCTTTCTTCCCTTCTCTCTTTCTTTCTTTCCATAAAAAAGATGTTGATTTACCATGAATGGCTATCTTCTATTTTTTTATTTCCAAGTTAATCTGAAGATAGGAGTCCTGGAAAAACTTCCATAGTTCTCTGCATAACAGATGGACATATTGCAGTTGCTGCATAAACAGAAAATCCAAACAAAGCAAAACAAAACTGAGTGCCAAAGTGAGTGAAAGAAAATTCAATTAGGAGACCATAAAGCTATAAATGAATATTTTATGAACCAAGACTTTTTTCTATAAAAGTGCTCCATTTTACTAAAAAAGAAATTGTACCATGAAGAGGAATATCTGAAGACTTTCAAAACATAAAACATGGCTTTACGGTTTTCACAAATATTCAGTTTTTCTCCAAATACATCAAGCCATAATAGCAACAAACTGGGTCATGTGGAATGATATATAAAGTTTGAGGAAACTGAGGGAAAACAAAAGTATTAGCACAGAAAAAAAATCAATTTAAATATCCTTCTGGAGGTACATCTGTGACTTCGCTACCTGTTCATACGCTGTTTCTAAGAGTAGGCGGCTCTCATGTCAAATTAATGTGTATACTGCAGTGCAGTGAAATGGAAGTTATGGGAATGGCTAGGAACACACTGTCGGGTAACTTGTAGGCATCAGCATCCATAAAAGTCTCTTTATCCTGTAGGCTGCACTATTTAAAAAATAAAAGTTAGCCTTTACCTGTAATAAAGTTTAAATATTCTGCTTTCCAAAAAACACTCCTATAAAATAAGCCTGAATGGAAAGGGGAAAAAAATAATGAAAGTAAGTTCATTTCTACTATCAAATTCTTTTTTTATATATAATATATCTTTATTGATTTCAGAGAGAGGAAGGGAGAGGGAGAGAGAGAGAGAGAAACATCAATGATGAGAGAGTCATTGACTGGCTGCCTCCTGCACACCCCTGACTGGGGATCGAGCCCGCAGCCTGGGCATGTGCCCTGACCAGGAATCGAACCCCAATCACCTAGATCCTCGGCCGACGCTCAATCGCTGAGCCACGCCCGGCCGGGCTCAAATTTTTTATACCAAAAGCAAATAAATAAATAAACTGACTGTGTTACATAAGGCATTGGTGCCATAATATTTCTCTCCGAAGAGTGGACACAGGGATTCCTAAAGCAGACTTAATTTTCAAGAGCTTTCAGGACATTAGAGAGGCAAGAAATCATTGTGAATGTATTAGCTAAGTACCTCTTACCTTCTAATGGACAGGAGTCATTTAATCTGAGACTAAAACATCAAGAATGATTTATTATCAATAATACTCAGATTTTTAAATATTTATGAAGTGAAATAATACAAAAAGATATAAAGTTCTTAATACAAGACCGGGATAATTATTGTGAATTAAGTTTCATCTCCACTGGGGCTTGTTAGCATATAACTCTAATAATTTGAAAAAAAATACTTATTTTTAGAATAAAATAGAGGACAGAGATGGGCCTCAATATTTTAATCCCCTAAGTAACCCCCTACCCATCTGCATCGGCCGGTCCCTATATACCTTACTCCGCATGGCCTATTCTAAGGCGGGCCACTAGGACCTTAGGATCTCCCAGACTCTACATCGTTTTCCCCAAACCAATGGGTCAGGGTCCTAAGAAGTTCTTTATGGCGATCAGAGAAGAAGTGAAGACATTGACTGTTCCAGATCTACGGAAAGGCCTTCCCTGACCACGTAACACGAATCGCTCCCTGCCTATCCCTCCCCCATTTTGTTTCTGTGGCTGCATCTGCTACTCACTCAACAAACATTTACTGAGCACGTATTGCACTTACTCTGTTGAAAGTGGGTACCGTTTACTTGTTTAATGTTTGCCTCTCCCTACTAGATTGTAAATTCTGAGTTGGCTTTATTCCCACAAGAATGTATTCATCAAATAAATAAATGAAAGAATGAAGGAATCTGTGAGTTAAGTGTTTTCCTTTCACCTGCAGCCAGATTTGAAACTTCTCCTTTGCCCGTTTCTGTCCAGAAGAATGGGGGTGGGGGTGGAGAGGGACCTCCCATCACTGCATCAGCCCTGGAAGGACAGTCTCCTCTCCCTCACTCTTCCTTGCCCCGGGGCAGAGGTGAAATGACACCTCGGCAATGCTGACCGGCCCTGCAAAACCTCCCTTTTCTTTGCTGAACGGTATCAGGCTGGCAAAGGNTCACTCTTCCTTGCCCCGGGGCAGAGGTGAAATGACACCTCGGCAATGCTGACCGGCCCTGCAAAACCTCCCTTTTCTTTGCTGAATGGTATCAGGCTGGCAAAGGCTTCCCAGCGTGACCCATGTCACTTGCACTGTAGAACCTTCGATTAAACATCCCACTCCTATTTTGCAGAAATCGTGGTGTCACGCTCACGTTAGCTGTAGGTGCTCTTGTGTGTGTGAGAGTGAGTGAACGGGAATCTACAATTCATATGTGCATTCCTGGAAGACAACGTTAGAGAGTCTAAATTTGGTTTTCTATCTCCACACAGCTGTATCCCCCCCATAAGTAACATCCTCCACGAATCTGGTGAGAACACATTTCTGTTGGTCCAGCAAAGCCCTAATTTGCCCAGAACAGTACTTGTTCATGCCATGAGGTTTTCCACTTAATCAACGATCACCTCTTACATGAAGTTTATTTTTTAATTTCCAGGAAAAATATTTCCTCCTCTTATTTGTTTTTTAATATCACACTATAGTTCTTTTTCAGCAGTTAGTTGGGTACATTACGTGTCTTTAAGTGCAACCATCAATCTTTTTAGGGCAGATACCTACCATGTTTTAAAATATCCTGCATTCCAATGCCTAACATTAGGAATTCAATAAATGTTGACTTCAGTGAAAGTAAGTGGTTGTTGGTAGCCATTTATGTAACATCTGAGATAAAGATACTATACCTAAGAGACAGGAAACAATACATCCCTTCATCTTTAATCCCCCAAAATGTTCATCCTTCCATTCTTTTAAAGACTACAAATAGCAATTACAGAATAAAATTTTACCTTTCTGAATTTTTATATAACCTCATTTTTATTGAGGATATCTTATAAGTATCAATAAGAATGTGCCATTTATTATTCAAATGGTTAACTGAAATTCATGTGAAAATTGTTAATATTTGAAATATTTTTATAATTTTTTATCAGATTGCCCCAACCTATTTGAGTTTCACAATTGCAATTTCTAGTGAGGTGTTGAAGTGACACCTGAAAGAAATAGAAAACACCTAAGTCAAGTGGCCATAATGACCATACCTCTTTCTAAAGAAACCAGAGAGGTATTTGTGGGATCCTTAGGAGTCATAAAACACACTCTGAAAACCATAGCTTCAATCAATAATAGCCACAATATCCTGAGCTAAGGACCAAAATGTTCAGAATCTTCCAAAAGCAATCAAATCTCAAATAGATGAAAAAGGCTTTTGAGATTCAGATAAAGTGGAGGAGAGGTAATTCGTTTTATTTAATAAGCACAAAGGATGCAAATGTAACAGCAATTCCAAATTTATATGATTTTAGGGGGGAATCATTCATTTTTTAACATGATGAGAATTTTAAACTCCTCCCTAAATTTATAAAAATTAGAAAGGAATACCATCTAGCTAAATATGAACTATTTGTCTTTTCTGTCTCACCTTTAATGTTCTAGTTTCCCATGGCTGTTCTAGGTTGTCATAGCAACAAAATGCTATTTTCAATAAGTTTTGGTAGGAAACCTGTTTAGGAAACCTAATTTATTATAAGTGGAATACATTCAGTTGGTTGCATGTCTGACAGATTTTTCAATGCTTTTAAAAAAGTATTTTATCATATTATTCCTACTGACTACTACTCCTTAACTGTTTTATGACATAAAGTAACTCTTAGAGTTCATAGACAATAACAGCAATAACTTCAGGACAGACATGCCTAAAGTCAGTCCAAAGAGTTACCTGGGATTTAGGTCTTAGCTTCCCACAGCCCCAATACATACAATTACCCTATACGCCATTAATATATTGTTTGGTCTGAAATATAGATTTCTCATATATTCATTATTTTAATTTCTTAATTTGTTTCCACTGTTATTATACTTGTCGAAAATATAATACAAAAATTAGCAGAAACGTTTTTTGCATATTGCCCCCACCAGAAACTCCCATTTAAAAAAGAAAGCATAGGTTTTTACATATTCTACTGTTCTAAAGCTTTCAATTTGTTCTTTCTGGCTGACAGAATAAATTTTGAATTCTTTTGTCCTGCATTCAGAGCCCTCTAAAATTTCACCTTTTATATATTTCTCGATTCAGTTACACTTCTTGCTCTCATAAATTAGCCAGCACAACCAGCCCGGTGACCAATAGTCTTTCTTTATGTTTTCCGACCTCTCTGTGTACTTCTATAACTTCCTTCATCTTTCCATTCTGATCTCTTTTCCTATACCTATCCTACACATTGGCTCTTCTTTCCTAAAAAAAAAAAAAAAAAAAAAAAAAAAAGCCATCTCAGACCTCTCTCTTTTCTCCCCCAAATGTATTAAACATACTCATTTAGTCTTTGAATAAAATCTGCCTTGTAGAAGAAGGTTTCATACTATCAATTCTCAAAAATTACTGCTTACACGCACACAGTTTACCTTCTCAACCGGAAGGTAAACTCATTCGGATCGGAACCAGGCCTGGTATGCCTTTCTCCAACCCAACACCAATATTGTCTATTTTATGTAATAAAAGAGTCTCGAGAGTGGAAGTCTTGGTCGAGACCCATCCTGCCTTCCGGCGACACATGCGTTTTGTACCCGAGTATCCTCAGACATATGGGAGCATTTGGGGGAATTAAAGATGCAGGGATGATATTGTTCCCTGTCACTTCTTTTAAATGTATTATATTCACCCCAGATGTTGCAGAAATGGTTACAAACACCCACTTACTCCATGAGTTACCCATCAGGAGATCTTAGTGTAACTCAAACCATACATATGAAAGCTGCGAAAAGGGGTCAAGAGGCCAGGAAACGATGCCAGAGACAGGTGCTTCCTTTCTGCTTAACTATGAGCCATGCCATCTCGAGGTGTCATGGCCAGACAAGGGAAAGAAAGCATTCTATACTCTTGGGTCCTTTCCTACACGTCTAAGGAAGTCACCTGAC